CCTCTGTTCCCCACGGGGACCCAGCGAAGCTCCTGGAGCAGTGCCTGGACGGGCCCAGATGGGGCAGGCCTCTCCAGGGTGGTCTTGGTTGCTGTCCTATGGCCTCCACCAGGCAGCCCCACTTAGCGTCCACTGAAATGCAGGGTCCATGAGGGAGGGAAACTGGCTGTGGATAGTTAAGAGTGAGATTTTCATTGAGATCGTGGTTGATCCACATGCAGTTGCAAGAAATCACAGCTCTGTACTACACACACACACACACACACACACACACCTGCCCCCAGTGGTAACATTTTGCAAAACTCTGTTTAAGTCAACACCAGGACACTGACATTGCTACAATCCACCACTCTGGTTCAGAGTTCCCCACTGGTACTTATACTCACTTGCATGTGTCTTTTGTACTATATAATGTCATCATGTGTGTATATTCTTGTATCCTCCACCACAGTCAAGTTCCTTCACCCCAACCATCTGTAAGGGTCTTACATAATCATACCCACCTCCTTCCCCACTGACCCACTCACCCTGGCACCCCCCCTTTATAACACTTTGTCATTTCCACCACATTACACAAATGGCACGCCATGGTGCTACCCTTTCGGGATGGGCTTCCTCCCACAGCAGAATTCCTTGACATCACATCCAAGCTGTGACACGTGGGCACGTTTGATGCACTGCTTTATCCTCAGCACCAAGGGCACCGCCTGGTGCGACGCAGGTATTCAGCAGAGGTTTGCCAAGTCGACAGACCCCCACCAAAGTGAAGCTGTGCCACCACGTAACAAGAGCACATGGTGGGGCTGCCCCGGGGAAGGTGGGGAAGAGGCTCCTACAATATCCCCACGTAGGGGCCTCTCTCTGCCACTCACATCTCTCCCACAGTCCCACCCCAACACCGGCATATCTGCCTCACTCAACACACAGATTGTGGCGATGGAAGAGCGTAGACCATCAACTCTGCCTCAGAGCCTCCTCTGGGAGTCCCAGCACCTGCAGTCTGAGAGATGGGTCCAGGGGGGTGGGGGTGTAGGGGTGGAGGGGGTGGAATGCCAGCTCACGCATCGGAGTGACGTGGAAAAGCATCCCAAGGCCTGCATCTGGGCGGCAGAGCAAGAAGTGCTCTTCCTCCCTCCCCTCCCCCATACCGCCCTGCCCCTCCCCCTGCCTTCTACCGAATTCCATCAGATTGCCAAAGAGTGCCCAGGTCCTAATCTCGAAAAAGGGTGCAGTTCTGCGTGGAAGACAAACATGCCCGTGGTTTGTTTGCTTTGTTTGAGAGCTCGGGTGACCAGACCAGACCAGTGAGGAAGCCAGGCCCAACAATCACGCGCTCTCAGAAATACCAAAGGTCAATGCCAGGACAGTTGAAGGACCTTGATCCCTGGTGCCAGTACTCCAGATACAGGCCAGGGGGGTGAGTTGCTCAAAACCCCACACGCTGTACGAGCTGCGATCTAGTTTTGAAGGGGCATGGGAGAGTCCGTCCTATCCTTCCTGCCTTCCTTGTTTTGCTTCGTGTGGGTAGGATCTCTGACCAGGAAGTCCTGCAGGGGGAAATAACCACCTTTCATGTGTTCATTGCTTTGATGGAGCATTTCACAAGTGCTGGGGGTACAGTAGGCACCCAAATGTGTGTTGACTCGTTTGACGCTCTCCGTCAGCACAACCACAGTCGCCATCATGGATTCTCGGCGTCCGAGTTTTCAGCAGGTCTTTGTTTAATTAGTGGTTGAGCGTGTTAAGCTCTTGAACCTCCCAGGGACTTTCCTTCAAATGCCTGCCTGCGTTGGCTGCCGTCAAGTCGGCGCTCACTCATAGCGAACGCCTGTGGGTTTCCAAAACCAGAACTGTTTACAGGAGTAGAAAGCCCAGTCATTCTTCCTGGGAGGTGCTGATGGCTTCGAACTGCCAACCATTTGGATCACAGCCTAATGCATAACCACTGCACCACCAGGGCTCCTTTTCCCTCAAGGCTTCTTTCATTCCATTGCTATGAGGAGTAAGCTGGGTGTGCTCTCAGTACCTTCACACTCCATCTGCGCGATCGAGTCACGGTGTGTCGGTCCGTCCTTCCCAACCAAAGGTCCCAAGCAGCAGGCTGACTTC